AGTACTCATATCTGCACAAAATAAGAGTAATCAGTTCCCAAAATCTCACTAGATGTATTTAGTGACAGGCTCTTGATGCCAATTGATAGAATTATTTCGTGCAAATTAATTATATATTTGTGTCCGATGAATTCCAGATTCAGTTTTAAATACCGTTTTACTGTTTTACGAAGAGTTGCAACAGTTAATGAAACAGTAATAAAAGGACACAAATTTTAAAGTGGTTCGGATACAATTGTACCCTACATCCACGGGGACCTGCAAATGAAATTTACTAATCTTTAGTTTTACGAATACAATAATAGGACTTAATCGAAATGCAAAGACTCCCTCTTTGTCGACGTCGTTCTTGTATACTACGCTGAATTAACAAGCTTCACTTTGCAGCACGTCCCTTGATCCGCACGGTTGAAATTCCTTCAACGCTGAGTCCCTCAGTCGGCGGGTCGACCTCCTCCCGAGATCTTCTGAGTTCTCCTCCCGAAGAACCGATCTTCTTTTCGGTGAAAGAAGCAAAACCCTTTCTCTGTATTTTCTTCTCGGATTAAGATCAAAGGTCTGGAGCAGCAACGTAAGAGCAGAAAATAGTTTTTCTCTCAAAATAAAAGGGACAAACTAAAACAACGTTGATGCTGCCCTTCTTATACTTCCTTAGGTGAATTAGTAGAGCCCTACACAAAAGTGGAGCCCATTAGGTTATTTTATCTCACGTAAGAAAGAAAAGAGTTGTGTAACAAAGGAAATTATTTTCCAAACAGAATTCTTTGTTAAATAAAACACTTAGGCAATTAAATAAATTAATGACAAAATAAGAGTTAAAGAACTAAGGAAACTTCCCTAGTTTTTATACACGGTTTTCACACACGTGTTGAAAACCCGAAATTAGAATCCTCTCGGATTCTAACAAGCCCAAACTTCGTTTTATTATTCTTAGCAAATCCAATAGTTCTCAAGAAGGCAATCTCCTTTACAGTCGCGTATCACACCACCAATCTGGCATTTTTCTTGGATTAATTTGATATAGCAGATCCCGTCAGTTAATGTTCAATTTAAACAATTCTTTAGGAGTTGGTTGCCAAGTTGAAACGTAGATGGAGCGTGTTAACAACTTTCTTCTTTTTAATGATGTATTGATCAACATGTCGATAGGAGTATATTTAAAGATAATATTATTGGAGAAATTCCATATTTTCAAAAACAACACAACCATTTTATTAAACAGATCAGATTAGTTAGAATTACATTATTGAGTTTCCACACACACACACAAACACATATATGTATATTTATTGCTATAGAAGAGTTGGATATTATTGAGGTTTTGGTAGCTCAAGAACCATAAATAAGCACTCTTGAGAGAAAAATTGCCAGTATTCGTTAATACCCATCGAATCAAGTCATCACATTTATTTGAAGGTACGTGGGTTGCATAAATTTATTCTATATCTATATCTATATCTATCTATATCTATACTTTATTACAATAATAGGATAGTTTCTTCCATTTTTTGCTTGTCCTAAAATACCCTCCAAAACAACCAATAGCTAAAGGACACATCAAGAATAAAAATAATAATAATAATAATAATAATAATAATAATAATAATAATAATAATAATAATAATAATAATAATAATAATAATAATAATAATAATAATAATAATAATAATAATAATAATAATAATAATAATAATAATAATAATAATAATAATAATAATAATAATAATAATAATAATAGTAATAATAATAATAATAATAGTAATAATAATAATAATAATAGTAATAATAATAATAATAATAATAATAATAATAATAATAATAATAATAATAATAATAATAATAATAACAATAATAATAATAATAACAATAATAACAATAACAATAATAACAATAACAATAATAACAATAATAATAGCAATAATAACAACAATAACAACAATAACAATAACAATAACAATAACAATAATAATAACAATTATTATATAAAATTATTGAAAAATAATTCAATTATCTTATTGAAAATAATATTTTTAAATTGAATAAATATTGTCTTCCATTGGTAACATAGATGTAATAACATAAAAAGCTAATTTTGTTGACCAAATAAAATTTACCAAAAACTAAACATTATATTATTGGACGAAAAAGACTAGTAAAGAACTGTATATACACACATATAAATATTGAACAATAATGATTGCAAAATATTATTAAAAAAATCAATGCTTTCCAAGAAATCAATGAATAATAAATTGTATTCTTAATTATTTAAATATATTTTAATTCATTAATTTCTTAAAGTATATGATTACTCATAATATCTAAATATATATTTTTAATATATGTCCAATAATTTAATTTTATTTAGTACTTTTCAATTTTATATAAATAATAAGAATCAGTTTTTATGTTATTTATTCTATCGAGGAAAGATAATATTTAAATATTAAATGTATTACATAGACTTTTTAATTGATTAAATTAAATGTATAGCATCATTTTTCGATTATTTTTATCCAATAAAAAATGAGATATATTAAGGGTATTATTATGTTTTAATATTACGATACAAAATTATGCTTGAGGGGTAATTTTACAAATGATACTTTAAGAGGATAAACGTTACATTGGTTATAATTTGGACAATCATCAAAGATAAATACGATTAATTATTATACATACATGAATAAAAGTAACCGACTTCGTTTAGGAATCAATAAGAATTTGGATAGTAAGCTAAGCAAATAATAATAATAAATATATAAAAAGGAGAATGATGCAAGATCACTTCCTCTTGCTCCATTCGTTTATATTCATTTGATAGTATAATAATTATTAAACTGTTGTATTTAGATCTTCGCTCGGTAATTGATAAATATCTTCATGCATGTTGAAGTGGAATACATATAATTTCATCTTCTATAATCATCATATGTAAGTTTAGACAAATGTATCTCATTCAAAAAGTTATTTTGCATCATCGATATGCACTATCACTTTCTTCTAGACTTTTGTAAATTATATACTGCATTTGGTCGAATAGATTAAATTTAGTTGAAGATTATAAATAGAAAGTTCGGATGATAATAAATTTCATACTGTAAGTTGAATTCGGCTTTTAATTTCTATGTTGCTACCATCTATATTACTGATTTCTTGATGTTGCTGGGGACAGGAATTTCATAGTCTATTTAAAAATAAAAGACTTGGATGATAATAAATTCCGTTATGTAAGTTGAATTTGACTTTTAATTTCTATGTTGCTACCATTTATAGTATTGATCTCTGATATTGCTGGGATGGGGATCTTAAATCCCATAGTCTATTTAAAAAGATTTATTGCATTCAACATTACTTTATTTTTATTTTTATTGTTGAAAATTTCTTTAAGTTATTTTATTGACATCAACTTCCCTATAATTATATTTTTTTTTGTTTTATAAAAGTGGGTTTCTTCTAATTTTTTATGGACAAAATACCCTTGGAATTAAGTTTTTAAAATAATTCAGTAAATACAAATTAATTAGCAAATAGAAATTAATTAGCTAGCATGAACATGAATTAGTAACTGACGGGATGGTATTATGTTTGATTCAAGGGTACAAAAGGAACGCTTCTCACTTAGAGAATTTTCATAAAACTACCATTTAAGTGGCAACTTAGAACGTATATAAGGGAAGAATGTCTTATAGGACTAATTGAAATTTCATGTAAATAGAGAGATAAAAAAATATTGCGTAAACAAATTAAAAACTACCATTCTTAGAGTGTATTATTAGATTTCAAAGCAAATCTTCACGTGACTACCATTCAAGGTCTTATAGGATTGAGTGAAATTCTTACATTGAGTTAATAAGTGAATGCTCAGTTCATATCAACTGTACTACTTGCATTTAATCATACTTCATAATTTTTTTTTTGGGTAATTATTTTTGAAGTGGAATCGTCTAATTATTTATTCGTAAAATTAATTTTCTATTTTTTAAAGAAAAACTTGAAAAAAAATGTTTTTTTTTTTTTTTTTTTTTGAGCAAATGAAAAAAGAAATGTTTACAATCCATGTAGTAAGGGATTTAAATCAAAACTAATAAGTAATAACATATGAATTGTAAATGTATGCCTAAAATAAGTTCATTTTGTTATTCTTGTAATATGTGTGCGTGTATATGCATCTGAAGTGTATTCATAACGATTTTTGCACATAAAGGGTATAATGGATTTTCTCTCTAATTATTTCTAATTTAGTCTTCCGATAAGTCACCATATTAAATATAAACAAATGTAAATAAAAATAATTGATTGTATAAAATTATTTTGACTAAATAATGCAAATTAATTAAATAAATGGCGATGCTAGAATTTGCAAAAATGAGTGTAAACAAAAGTTGTTAGTTTGGAGAGGAAGAATAATAAATATTGCAATAATATATAACTTTATGTTACGAAGAGAAATCACTTATGCAAATTAAAGATCAAATATGAAGATTTGTTTTATTTATTTTTCTTTGGAACTTTGTGCAACTCAAGATCAAGCAAAATAATATAACAGCAAAATTTATATTCAAAAGATAAATTTGAAACAGTACAATTTTTAAATATATATAGTGTTGTAGAATAAGCTACAGTATCTATATTTTTATTAAATATTTTTTATAGTACCGTTGTTAAGTTTAATCGAGTAAATTATTAACTAATAAATATATAAATAATTAATAAAAATCATAAACCACGTGCAACGCACGTGTCACTGACTAGTTATAATAAAATGTGGAAAAAATGGCTTAATGTTATCTATATTCCAAGTTTTTGAGCTATGGTTGATGAGATTAAAAATTGTTAGGCTATGGTGGATATTAAAAATTTCTCAATCCATTCATCAGACCACGCATTATTTTTATATTTTTTGTTTTCCAAAACCAAAAACAACATTTTTTTTAGAAGCGGCATTTGTTTATTGTTCCTTTTAGAAATTATTTATACTTATTATACATATAAAAAAGAAAACCAAACTTGCTTGCATAGGTGATCAAAAGCTCGTGTGAGCCAGGGTGATGAGCTTGAGCTTCAAGAAATTTACGCTCAAACGAGCTCGGCTAAAGCTCGAGCTCATACAAATTTACTTGAGCTCGACTCGTTACACACCGATACAGAAAAATTAGAAACTATGAAGAGAAAATCAACGATTAACAGGACAAATAAAAAATACAAGCTTAGCCAAATAAATATTTTTTTTCCATGACAACAACTCCATAACAAGAAATATTAAGAAGATCCAAATGTAATCTTCTGACCCATAAATAAGAATCAAATTGTTTGAACTGTTTTACTTGATTAAAAAAGAGAAGCACCGAATCCAACAATCGAAGCATTACTTCTACAGGAATGGTGGGAGTATCACCCATCGTCGAGGATATCTCGGTCTTCCATCTTTCCCGTCAAATAGCTGCAACAAATTATACCAAAAGTCAACAACGAAAAAAAAATACTATCCAATGTTTACGAGTGCAGACCGCAGATAATATATATGTGTGTGTGTGTGTGTGTGTGTGTGTGTGTGTGTGTGTGTTACCTTCTTGAGACGACGGTGTTTGGCGAGGGCCCAATTAGTCATAATGGCAGCAGCGACAGCCATGAAAACGTAACCTGCAACAGTCTGCGTGGCAACATTGAAGCCAAGCCACTGATAAATCTCGGTAGTATAATTCGCGCACGTAACGACGTTGAACAAGAATCCACGCGGGATTTGGTACCCACCCCCCTCACTGCTACGAAGATTCCTCAACAAAATATGGCAATAAAAATTCGAAACTTGGCAAAGAACCCCAAAAGCAAATCCAATCTTCATTTGGAGATCGCTCACGGGCGTGTAAAGTGGATGGTTAACGTAGTAAGCAATCCAAGCGCCGAAAGTCCAGTAGTAAGCACAGTTCCGAAACACATTCGAAAGCGGTGACGTGGCGTGGCTGAAACGGTGCACGAAAAACGTCTCCATTATACGTTTGAAGTAGTGGAAGCACCAGTAGTAAAGGGCGTACGTTTGAGCAGGGTGGATTGTCGCGCGCTCTCCTTTGTATCCGAAAAAGTTGTACACTGGGTAATAGTAATAGAAGACGGGATAGAGAAGAAGCGGGCCCAAATACTCGAAGAAGAAAAGAGTGCTGTAGTTGACTTGTGTGCCGAGGTCTTTGAAAACTACGGTTAGCTCGTCTGTGTTCCCATCGGTATATTCCTTGAGATTCTTTTTGTAGTTGAGGACAGTTGGCCTTTGCTTCGATCCAGGTGGCAGAGGAAGTGTTAGTCGCTGTCTCGAGGGATAGAATTTTTTGGCTGTAGACAGATTTTAAAGTATGATCATCTGTCGTGTATGCATAGTCGGGCATTTGACATTGATTCAGAATCTAGTAAAGGGCATATTTCTGCTCTAAATTTATGCTATAAGATAAAGATTTATGCGAAGCAAATTTAAACTTCAAAAAGAATTTCTAGAAAGTGAGAAAAGCTACTCAAGAAAGACTCACGGAAACTATCGTTTTATGCAATATGAAGTATTGCTAAGGAAGTGTCAATGATTGAAACATAAAGTTCAAATTACTTATCGCTTTCCTGCAAACTAATTGACGATTTTATGTACGGACCATGAATAAACGGCTGTTCCCTACCCATATCCAACAATCGAAAAATCGGATTTCAGTATTTATAATATAAAGCCCAGAAAGTATCTAATCTGACACGTCACAGGTGATTGGTGTACGACAAGTCACAATTAATCTAATAATCAATTGGTATTTTTGGTGAAAAGATACTGTAGCAGTCGTATTCGAGAATAATCTCAGAGTTCGCATTGTTCATCATTCGATAACTACTTACTAAAAACCACGTACAGCAATTAGTAGACGCTTCTAAATGCTTTCAATTGTAGGAAGTTATCATCACCGTAAGTTTTTAAAGACGAGATCGAACCTACATTTCTCTCATTTAGATCCCATATCTCAGGTTCCACTCAATATAATTATTGTTCAAACATAATCAATTTTTGTATTGAATTGAATGTGTCGTGTACATACGGTAAAACTGGGGTTCGGAAAAATTCCGAACCTCCACTTTACGACCCCTTAGTTCATTGTACATTAAAGGCCAGATTGTCGGAAACAAAAATTCCCACAAAATGTTCCGTTTAATTACTCTAGGTACGTGTTTCTCGGAGCTATTTTTCGGAAACAAATCCAGTTACTAAATCATAAAACATAAACATTTCACTCTAAAGCGGAAAAAACATTGGCTGATAGCTGGATGTTAACAAACAAATGCACCTTGTACTCGTAAATGCGGAACAAGACGATAAGATTCAACTCTCCAAATGAATCGACAAAAAAAAAATTAAAAAAAAAAAAAAAAATAGGAATTAATTATAACTTACTCCGCTTATGAATGGCGTCCTGCAGATCAGCCACAGAAGCCTGCAAAATAAAACCAAATCACAATCTAAATCACAGAATCCAACAAAAGTACCAAAATCTGCTGTTCAAATCCAGGCGTGCAAAAAAAAGTGAATCGAATTGAAGAAAAAAAAAAAACATACGGAATCGGTGAGGTTGAGGCCACCCTTGATGAGTTCTCGGCCGCTACGAGTGGTGACGAGCACCTTCATCTTTGTTCTTCGTCAGGTACAAGATCTATGAATTGGGGGTTAGTTGAAGGATATAAATCCTCCTAATGTAATTTAATTATAAACTAGGGATGGCATGTGAGGAAGTTGTGAAGATGAATATTAGCAATTAATAGGGGGGCGAATTGTAGTTGGGGGTTAGATGAGACTGCCTGCCTAACTATTTTCATTTCTTTCTACCCATAAACCACCACTACCTTACTATCTAATCTATCACTCTACATATTCAATTCAATTCTCTCTAGACCGGCTCTTTTTATTTAAGGATTGATTAATTATACATTGCACCTTTAGGCACCGTTTGGTTGCCAAAATAAGTCATGATTAACTAAATAGTTTGACTTAATTTGATGTTTGGTATCCTCAATAAATTGTCCGGTCGACCCGCCAAAATTTAATAATCATGGCTTATCTTGCCTTTTAATGAGTTTTTTTCATTGGACGTTTCAAGCTCCAATAAAATAGTTGGATCTCATTAGATTATTTAATCTTATCTTGGCTAATCTTATCTTGCCGACCAAACAGGACCTAAGTATGAACCTTGTAACAAATATTTCAAATCAGATATTTATCTGTGTATCAATTGTAACACATGCTCCCTCCATTCATCACCCTGAGATGTGTATCAAACGCCCCCTACATTACAAAACGTACTAAATGTCCCTCTCTCTTTTCTGGTAAACCATTATAATTTTAACTTCATTAGTTTGAATGTACAATTACATTAGTACACTTATGAGTTTAAGAAGTATTAGTGTTATTTATTCATACTGCCCCAACCATTGGCAGAACCATGATTTTATACTAGGGTGGGGCTAAAGTTTACGGGTATTTGGGGCAACGTCCCAAATTTATTTTTAAAAGCTAGTCATAAAATACATGACAAAATAAATAAATATAATGGTCAAGATGTAATTATTGTAGCTCGTTAAACTACAATTGGGTGGGCTAAAAATGAGTTGAATGGGTTATTCGATTAATAAACATTAAAATAGCAGTAAAAAATATTGAGTGTGGGTGGGGCTTCAGCCCACCCAACATTCTGCATAGCTCCGGCCCTGTCCCCAACTCATCGTTTTCTTCACGTTGCTTATGAGATAACCAGTTTCGATTCTCCGACGGATATCATATATATCATTACAAAACCGACTCTCACAGGAAAAGAAAATCTCTGAAAAAGTGATAGGAAAAGAGAAAAATAATATATATTTTATTTCTCCAAAATCAACTCCTTGAGATAGAAAAGAAACGAGAATCGAGTGAAGACTAATTTAGGACACCTAATCAACTTTTGATGCAAAATAATCCTCTAAAAAAGGAAGAAGAAAATAAAAAATTGTGATAATGAAGATGATGATGAGTGATGTGATACCTATTTTATTAACTAAATAAAAATATAAAACTAATATTCTACTATATAAATAAGTTAAAAAAAAAGTACATGAAAATATTTTGAGTATTATTTAGTTATCATTATACATATAAACTGTATATATCTTTATACATCAGCACATTACAAACAAATGGATTGGAAACACATAGGTCATTCGATACGTTTTGTAATTTAGGCGATAATTGATGCACATCCCATAATTCAGGGGCGCAAACTGTTAAAAAAAATATTAAAATTATGATGCCATTAGTGAAATGTGTGCGATGACTATAACATATTCTTCATGTCCCGGCAATATTTTGCCCCTTCCAAGTATCATAATTTATCAATATTTTTCGATTTTTCTCGTTTTTATATTCAGATTTGGCAATATTCGAATATGTTCTATCTTATCGTTTCATGTTGACTTGTAATAAAAAAATTCAAATTGTGATTATGTGTGTGGATGTTGATTGGATTGTTTTCAGGCAATCTTCGTTGTCGTCTTTTTTTTTTCTTTCCAGATAGAACAACAGTAACATGACTCTAGGATCATATTCAAATGTAGACACGGCCACGGGCCGGGTTTGACCCGGACCCGGCCCGTTGACTGCACCGACCCGACCTGGCCCCGCCCCGTTGACCATGGACCCGGACCCCGACCAAGTACGGGTCGGTTTTGGGTCCTGATTACTTGGACCCGGGACCCAACGGGTCTACCTGGCGGGGGAACCGATGACCCGACGGGTCAACCCGAGAATATCTGGTTTTTTGTCCAAAAATGTGCAAATTGGGGTTTCGAATTCGGGGCACATGGAAGAATGAGGAGCCCTTTACCACTGGGCCAACCAACATATTTGATTAAATGTAGACAATAAATATGTATAATATAAACCTATGGTGTAAATGATAAATATGTTAAATAAATTATTAATTTTCATATTAATTATTATTAAATAATTAACAAATGCAATATAAGAAAAAATATATATATATATATAATCACGGTTCAATACTTCAAAACATCTATTATTAATTAATATATCAATATAATCTCCACTATTGAAAAATATAAAGTATTGAATCAATTCAATATATAAACAAATGCGTTGACTTATTACAAATTTACTTATGTTATTAAAATCGATAGTGTGAAAAAATCGAATGAAAAATAAAATAATATGTTTATTTAGAAAAATAGATTATCACTCATTTCAATTAATTTAAGTCGATTAACCTCAATTGTTGACAAGAACTTATTAATATTATTGAGTATTTTTATCATAAGATAATAATTTAGAAAATACAAATGATGTTTATTTTAACCAAAATAGATTATATCTCATTTCAATTAATATTCTTACTTTAAAAATAACATTATATATGACTAGTATAGTCAAAATATTATGATGTAATTTCTCTTTTAATAATTGATTTAATTTGTAAAAATCGTAGGAATTAAATTGTAGACCATATGATTTAATCATTTTTTTAGATATACATTTTATTCAAATATTAGAATCGAATAGTAAGATTTAAATCGATTAATCTCAAGTCCTTTTAACTTATTTTAATTTTTATATTATATTTGTTAATAATTTAATTTAAATTATTTAATAATTATGAATATGATAATTAACAATCCATTTAATATTATTTATTATAATCATTTTATACTGTTTGTTTATATTGCTTGCAAGTAATTTGTCAAATATATATCTTGTCTCAGTGGTTCGGATTGCTTTTTAGGTGTGTGGGTGACCTGAGTTTGAATCCCATGCATATCAATTTTGGACAAAATTTAAAAATCCGGTCCGGGCCCAGAACCGACCTGGAATCGGGTGGAACCGAGTGGACCTGCCCCAGACTCGGACGCACCTCCCCACGAGTCGGTTTCGGGTCCTCTAAAACTCGGACCCGACCCGCCCCGTGGCCGTGTCTATTCGAATGTGACTATTGTTGAATATGACTACGCACCTCCCCACGAGTCGGTTTCGGGTCCTCTAAAACTCGGACCCGACCCGCCCCGTGGCCGTGTCTATTCGAATGTGACTATTGTTGAATATGACTACAGTCATATTCGAATATGTTCTATCTTATTGTTTCAAGTTGACTTGTAATAATAAGATTCAAATTGTGATTTTTTGTGTGATGTTGATTGGATTGTTTCCTAAATAATAGACAATCTTCGTTGTTTTATATAATTTGGTAAACATGACTATACCACACTATATAATCCGAATATTTTAAGTTGAAAATGTAAAAAACTGGAATATAAAGAGAGAATATGACTACACTTGATATAGTCACATATAGTCATATTCAACTATAGTCATATTCGGTGTAGTAAACCTGTCGAGAATTTTTCTTTTAATTTTTTGCTTAAAAAAAATAAAAAATATATTTTTATTAAAAAAATATTAAAAAAATAAAAAAATAAAAAAAGCTAATTAATAAAAAATAAAAAATAAAAAATTCAATATTTTTTTTTATTTTGATTGGTAGCATATTTTTAGGAATTAGAAAAAAGAAAAAAAGGAATAATTGGGACAAAATGTGCTAATTAATATAAGGGTAGTATTGAGAATACAATTTCTAGAGAGTTATCACATAAAAAGATTTAAGGGCTGGACATATCAAACATTTATTACTGATATGAGGGGCTAATGATCCCTTTTATCAATCCACTTTATTACTTGCCGATAATATGTGCACTTGTGTGCTGATATTTGCTCCAACAATGTTCAACAACAACAAGATATTATATCATACTCTCTTATCTTTCTTGGGCACAACGTACACGTTCGATCGAAGTAAAAGACCCAAGCTCTGATTTGTGGAATTTATCAATCACACTAAGGCCTCGTTTTTGTGCTAAGATAAGATTAACCAAGATAAAATTAAATAAAATCTAATGAAATCCAATTATATTATTGGACATTCGACGATCCAATAAAAAACATACTTAGACGGCAAGATTGATAACATAATACTTACGGTTCGACCCGACAAGTTATTGAGAATATCAAACACCCAATTATTTAGGTAATCATGACTATTCTCTCTAACCAAATGAGACATAAGAATATAATATTTATCATTTAACAAGGTGACGATGGGCATAAATATACTTGGATCGATTCAGTACTGTAATACGGTGTGCACATCTCAAAATTGAAAATGAATCAAGAACACAAGAAGAACTCTAAATTGTTCGATTCAATTTCATCAAATGAAACGAAACAAAAATTACATTTCGATATGAATGTCAAATCAGTTAAAATAGAAAAAAAAAAGAAGATTTTTTTTTTAATTCGACACTTTTATATTTATTCTAATTGTTAAAAAAACCCTCGTATTATTTTTTGTAGCAACCCCCCCCCCCCC